TCGCCTTTCCCAGAGAATGTCAAATGTTAGGTGCATTGTACGTAGCGTGGGGTTTCCCAGGTAAGAGCACCTCAGTGTTACGAAGCCCTGGCTTGTCTCTGAGACACAGGTAAGTCTTTCAACAGCATAAATGCAGTGTGACATTGTGAGGGTTATTAAGATGAGCAAGGCCGATGTGGTGGCTCCCACTCATACTCCCAGGACTTCATGAGGCTGAGGTGCCTCGGGAGGATTGATGGAGGCCAGGAGTTCGAGGCCAGCCTCGGCAACATGGCGAAACACCATCTCCACAAAAAGTATAAAAAATTAGCTGGTTGCGGTGGCGCACATCTGTAGTCCAGCTACTTGGGAGGCTGACGTGGGAGGATTGGTTGAATCGGAAGGGCGAGGCTATAGTCAACCTAGATCATGCTACTACACTGCAGCCTGGGACACAGAGCGAGACCCTGTCTCAAAACATAAGATGGGCAAGAGTAAATCTTCTTGAAGGAACGTGACAGTTGGGTAAATGCGACCTTGGTACCTTTTGAAATTATATTGGAATGGCATCTGTCAAGTGGAAAGAGAAGCAGGAGCTCTCTAGGCAGAGGAGAGAACAGTCAGAAAAGGGAACAGCACATGCCAAGGCCTTGGAGCTCCAAAGGTCAAGAAATGAAGAGAATGTGTCAGCTGCCACACATGCAGGACTCAACCCATCCACCCCAGCGGCTTTATGCAGGAATTCAGAACCAAAGCACTGCTATTCCGTCTACTGCATGGCCCAGGAAACTGATGTAGAATAATTTCTTTTTTTTGAAATGTATATAGGGATAATTTAAGCCAGTCAAAGAAGCTACAAAATAATTAAAACAGGCTATGTTGAAGTTTTTCTTCCGTCATTAGTTTGTTGCATTAACCAACAAACTATTAGAAGCAAATCATTGCTTCTGTCATTGGTTTCTTAGTATTAATTTCTAGAAATTACTGAATTACAGACTTGTTAGCCTTCGTTTCCAAGTTGCTCCTTTGAAAGATTTTATTAATGATCACGTTAGCAACGTATGAGACTATTCGGTCAGAGGCAGAACCTTGAAAGTGTGATTACTCACTCTTCAGTTCTGAGCTATCAGCCTTTTGTTTCACTGGTTTGTTTTTTTGACACAGAGTCTTGCTGCGTTGCCAGGCTGGAGTGCAAGTGGCGCAATCTGGTCTCACTGCAACCTCGAGCTCCCGGGTTCAATGACGACTCCAATTCCCCTGCCTCAGCCTCCTGAGTAGCTGGGACTACAGATGCTCGCCACCATGCCTGGCTAACTTTTTATGCTTTTAGTAGAGGCGGGGTTTCCCCACGTTGGCCAGGATGGTCTTGATTTCCTGACTTAGTGATCACCCCACCTTGGCCTCCCTAAGTGCTGGGGTTACAAGCATGAGCCATCACGTCTGGCCTCAGTGCTTTTAATATGCAGTTTTCCTTTCTTCACTATTCCTAAGGAGGTAAAACAGCTTTTTCAAGATGCTGGTTCAATTTCACTTTATACATTACTTTTGAGTAATGTTTTCAAAATATTCTGAAAAAAGTTGATCATCTTGTTTGACTTGGCATCCTTTCTGTGTTCACCTTAACTGAATTTCCTTCAAATATGTTAAGTACCTATTTGGTTCTTTTTCTAACCAAAAAGCTAACAATATATATTGAACCAAAATTTGAGTAATGTATTACTATAGAAGTTTATGAATGTGTGTACGTAGCCCTGTATGTTTACAGGATAGCACAAACCCTTTTACTTGTGTAGTTAATGCCCCCAACACCAGTGTTGTTCTGATTTCCATTTAACAGGCGAGGAAACGGAGGCAGAGAGAAGTCTTAATGATTTTTCTTAAGATGACAGCTTGATGGGGAGCGGAACCAGGCTGTGTGTGCTGTGTATGATCCATTAAGGTTTTTAGTGTAAGGTGCTTATCAAATAAGTCAGTATTTTTTAACTTACAAAATTCATGTAGAGGCTGAGTACGGTGACTCACGCCTGTAATCTCAGCACTTGGGGAGGCTGAGGCGGGTAGATCAAGAGGCCAGGAGTTCAATACCAGGCTGGCCAAGATGGTGAAATCCCATCTCTATCAAAAATAGAAGAATTGGCCGGGCGCAGTGGCTCAAGCCTGTAATCCCAGCACTTCGGGAGGCCGAGGCGGGTGGATCATGAGGTCAAGAGACCGAGACCATCCTGGTCAACATGGTGAAACCCCATCTCTACTGAAAATACAAAAAATTAGCTGGGCATGGTGGTGCGTGCCTGTAATCCCAGCTACTCAGGAGGCTGAGGCAGGAGAATTGCCTGAACCCAGGAGGCGGAGGTTGCGGTGAGCCGAGATCGCGCCATTGCACTCCAGCCTGGGTAACGTGAGTGAAACTCCCTCTCAATTCTAAAAAAAAAAAAAAGAAGAAGAATTACCTGGGAGTGGTAACGGGTGCCTGTAATCCCAGCTACTTGGGAGGCTGAGGCAGGAGAATTGCTTGAACCCAGTAGCCGAGATTGCGCCGCTACACACCAGCCTGGGCAACAGAGCGAGACTCCATCTCAAAAAATAAAAAACAAAGCAAAAATTCATGTTGAGTACAGTACTGTCCCCTTATCCACGGGTATTACATTTCAAGACGCTCAGTGGATGCCTGAAACTGTCGATATTACCAAGCTCTATATAGACTGTTTTTTTCCTATACCTACATACTGTACGGTGCAGATTGTTCATGTCCTGGGCAGGAGAGCTCATGGTTTGATTATGCTACACAAAATGGTGTGCAATTTAAAACTTATGAGTTGTTTATTTTGGGGATTTTTAAATTGAATATTCTCAGACCTTGGTTGACCATGGCTGACTGAAACCTTGGAAATCTAAACCGCAGAGAAGGAGCGTTACAGTGTTGTCTTTTTTGATAGCTTCCGAATTTCAACAACTACATTAATTGTAGCATTAACAACCCAGTTAGTTTCATGAGTTTTCTTACCGTCACCCAGTCCGGATCACCCTACTGTGTTCTTGTAATTATTGGTATTATTGTATAATTGTATGCTGTGGCCTGGTCGTCATATTGGCTGTCAGGCCAGCCGCATGTATTACACAGTTCAGCACCATTGGTGCTTCAGGAATTACCAAGCCTTCTTGGAAAGTGTTCAGGCCAGACTCTGTGTGTACCTAATTCTGGTTGTTATAGTACCAGTGTATTAACTTTTATTTAAATAAAATTCCAACAAGTAATATTATATACCGCTGCCTTTGAGTGTCCACACTTTAATGATGTTTTTGAAAGTCAAATATTAGCACAGGAGATCACCTTTCTGCATTGACTTTTATCACAACCTACCTGATAATGGTCAGTTCTACGTAATTTCATCCAAATAACACAAGTATCATTACAAATACATGGCTAATGCTAGGTGACCATCAAAATTCTAGATTATATAAAATTCTCTGGCACCATAACCTCGTACTCTCTTCTGTCACATGTGCTAATCCATACCACCCTACGTCTCCTTTGTGATTAGTAGTTTTGGGGAAATTATTATTAATTGCATAGTAGCAAAATACCAAGGCACCATCTTGGGTATGCAGTTATTTGTACTGGCAGCAAGAAATTGAAGAGCATTTGGAGGGAGATCATGTATTTATTATAAGGAGCCTACTTGATGTACTAGAGCTCTAAGCCTTACCTTTCGCTCAATGAGATTATTCCAGCTCTCAGTATAGGCCAACTTTCCTGATTGGTTGGTGACATGAATAAAACAAGGCCTTATGCACTTAAGGCAACCAACAGGTTTTTAAATTAACCCAACGAAGAGGCTGTATTTGATAGGCTAATTTGATTGAGATGTAGAAATGACTTATTCCCTCAGTTTTACCCTAGATTGAGTTTTGCTTAATTCATATATTTTTGAAGTGCTAAGTGCATCTAGTGGGCTTCTTCGGATTGGCCTAAGTTTGTAGGAATGACTTGGTTGTGGAGGTGGGTAGATTCTTTATTGTGGAGCCCTTAGAAGCAAAATATGTCCTTAGCTAGCCTCTGGTTGAGGTGATAATTAGGTGGATGGCAGCCATGAGCTTGGCTGGCTGAATAGAATTTCTGTGAATATGAGATCCCTTCTGAAAATTCTGACTTCTTCCTGAATGAGTTCTAGTAGAGTTCCTTGTTCTCTGGTGCATGTTAATAGAGGGCTTTAAACATTGTGAGATTACAGTGATAACATCACTGGTGCAAAATCAAAAGGTGACACCTGCTTTGGAAACTAATCTGCCATTCAACTTGTAAATGAACGTTTGCATATCCAAGGATTTCTACCAATTCCACTCCTAAATATCTAAGAGAAACTCTAGTTCATGATTTCCAGGAGACTCTGAGAGGAATTACAACATGGTTCATGATAGCAACAAACCAGAAGCACCTTAGGTGCCCTTGGACATTAGAATCACAGTGGAATATCTGCCATTCATCGGTTGTGTAGTATTACAAATACTCCATTGTATAATAATGAAAATGGATAGGCAAGAGATACAAGCACGGTCATGGATGGATCTTACTAAGTTGATGTTAAGTTGGAAAAAACCCAAGTCCTATTGTAACTTGTGTTGTAAAGTTTATAATCTGATGCAGTGAAACGCAAATGCTATTTATGTATGTTATGATGTAAAAAAGTTAGCACATAGGCAGTGCTTTAGGTTATGTTTGGGTAGTTGGGTTTGGCTGGGGGTTCAGAGATGCTCTTCATATTATTAAAAATTGGACTGTTAGGCCTGGTGTGATTGGTCATACCTGTAAGCCTACCACTTTCAGAGGCCAAGGCAGGTGGATCATTTGAGGTCAGGAGTTCAATATGAGCCTTGCCAACACGGGGAAACCCCGTTTCTCCTAAAAGTGGGGGAAAAAAAAATTACCTGAGTATGGTGGCACACTCCTGTAATCCCAGCTGAGGCTGAGACAGGAGAATCGCTTGGACCTGGGATGCGGAGGTTGCAGTGAGCCCAGGTTGCGTCATTGTACTCAGCCTGTGCGACAGAGTGAGCCTCTGGGGGGAAAGAAAAAGAAAAAAAGGACTAATTATTCAGAGGATTTAGGGCTTGCTCTGATATTTCACTACTGAAACTTAGATGGTGGTGATTTCATCATACTGATGAAATGGAACAAAGACAAAGTCTTCCCTGGTCTTTGTGCCCTCCCCTCTTTCTTGTATTTAAATATTGCAAGTTGTGTTGTTAGCCCTAAACTGAACCTGTTTCTTGGTGTTATTCTTGGTCTTCCAGAGGATGCTGTGAGTCTAATATGGTAGTTTGCATGTATCTTCTTTAGCAGAGGACCAAACTTTCATCTAAACAGTCTAAAATGTATGGATATTCACAACCGACAGTTTTGTGAAGTCTCCTTCCTGGCCGAACCACAGGCCAGAGTGGAGTCACAGGACTAACTTGCATATACTGTATTTTATGGAATATTTCCCGCATGATCAGGAAGTAATGGTAACAGCCTTTTCTTTTTTCTTAAAATTTAAATACCTGTTTCTCTTTAGTTGACTAGAAGAGGTGCAAGCAGTGGAGATGGGAAACGGGCAGATAGTGTTTATTACCGCTGATGCCTGCGTGCGTGCACTCTCCGTGTTCGAGTGACGGAATGCGGGTGTTTAGGAAAACCACTAATCATAATGATTCTGAAACTTCATTTCTGGCCAGCTGTGTATGTCTTGGGGTTTCTACTTTTCTTACTAACCTTGCTGAGAATTAGCATACATCAGAATATCTGCCTCACGGCCTCCTTTCCAGTTCTCTAATTGGGTGCTGTTGATCATTGAAGGAGCCAAAAGATATGTCCCAATAGAAGGAAGAGGAAAAAAGCCAAATAGTCATCCCCTGAATGTCCTTTAATTGACTCTGTATGACTTATGCTGCAGCGGGGATGCATGCCAAACGCTTGCTCACTGTTAGCAGGAACACGAGGCACTGGAGAGCACTAAGTAAGGATCTGCTCGGGACGCACACCCTCGGAACGATTGGGGAGCGACTCTTTTCTACCCTCTGTGTTCTCTAGGGAATTGTATATTGAGGTTAGCCCACCGCTTCTTTCCCAGTGCCACGGGATTCTCAGATGGCCTCCTGTCTGCTGAGCCATAGGAGCTAGGTCTGTAATCTTAAGAGCCAGACTTGTTTTTAGCCACAGTTTCAGCATCTATTAAGTGGGAGAATTGTAGCGGAGCATCTGTGAGACACTATGTATAATTCTGCTTTTAAAATGGTGGATACCAGCTAGTCCCTAAGGAAGACCACCATCTACCTCCCTGGGAGATTATATTATATATATAATTGTGTGTGTGTGTGTGTGTGTGTGTGTATTTATGTTTACATATTTTTTTATGTAAAAAGTTCTGGCATGTACATAAGCTTTAATGATTTAGGAAACAAGAGTTGGCCATTGTGGAGAGAATTCCAAATGGGCCTTAAGTGGTTGATAGCCTGGGTGACTTCACTCCTGAGCAAAGTTGACATCTACCTTCAGTGTAAATAAGTTACTGTGTGTGAAGCGTTAGAATCCAGAAGGGCCTCATTAGATGGTTCAACAACTAGGAAACAACACACTGAAAGTATTAGTAAGGCATGTTTCCAGTTCCTTTGGATGCATCTGAGGAAAACGTTCAGTGCCATGTGAGCTTGGCCACCATCTTCCTCCCCTTGGAAGGGCATGACAGAAGCGTGGGGTAGTGTTGAGAGCATATGTTATGGACATTATCATTGCCAGTTGAAGTTCAAAGGCTTCAAGGGAATTGACTTTAAAAATCAAAAAGCTATGACATATGAAAGGAGATGTGTACTCCAGTTGTCTGAGGCCAGGGAGCTGGCCAGCCCTCAGTTGGACTCCTGCCTTTTTCACCCCTCCCAGCAGCTGCCAGGCCACAGAGCCGGTTCTGTGAAAGATCCTTAAGAAACAATGAGAGAAAACAGCTTCTGTTTGATTAGATTAGATCAATTTATGTGCCTTGAGGAGGGGCCTGTGCAGGGCAGGGGGAGGGGTGCCCCCATGTTGTTGGTGGGGGCAGTCGTCGCCCATGTGGTCACTTCGTACGTAATGAGGCTCGGTTGAAGCTGGAATCCGAGGAAGGGGGAGGGCAGGCTGGAGGAGGAGCATGTGGAAAGAGATTTCTGCAGTCTGTCTGGAGAGCTGCCCAGGTTTCCCAGCCAAAAAAACAAATAAAAATAAATAAAAGGCAAGTGCTGAATGACACAGATTATGATATTAAAAAGGGATGCCATTGAAACTGTGCCTTGGAGCCTGCTGTCCTTGGGGGTGGGGTGTGCTTGGCAGTGGGGTGGGGGCATCTGACCGGCTGGGGACACAAAAGTGTGCAGAATTAAACTGTGAATGTCCCCCTCCCCCCCCATATGTCAGAAATTCTATACTTCAGATTTGTCTGCATTGCAGGTTGGGGAAATGGCTGGATGAAAAGCTAGTGGCTCTTTTCCTTTCTCTTATTTTAATTTATCGGGGTGGGGGGAGCCAGCCGGAGACCCCTCCTCTTCGGTGTTCGATTCCCTCCCATGCACATAAATAACCTTCTCTCCTGGCTGCCTCCCCTCCCCCTCGGCCCCATTGCTGTTCTGGCTGTCCTATTGCCGCGCGGAATCTGCACTGCCGCTTGCTTATTACGTACAGGGGAGGATTGTTGACAAGTGCTCCGGAACCTGCCTCACTGCGCTCTTCCTCCCTCCCTCCCTCTGTCCTTCTTCCTCTCTGTCTCTCTGCAATGATCCGGCTCTGAGGATGGCTGCTCCACGGGTCTGTCAGGTGCAGTTTTTGATGGCTTATCTTGAGGAACCTGGGATAGAAGGTCTGTTCCTATAAATAAAAGAAAAACCAAATAGCTCTAGATTTGTTTCAGGCTGGTATGGCTTTTGTTGGAGAAATAGGCCTTTGTGGGTTTCCCTGCTGGGGTCCTGATTAAATCCATTGTGGATGGCA